AAAAAAAAGAAGCTTCCAAGAACCCTGACGAAACCCTTTTGTAACACTGCAGAAAATACCCCCGGCCTCAGATGCCCGATGGACTTCAGGTCGCCCGGTGGCACGGCATTCTCCAAGGCACCTTGGATCTCCGGGTCGAGGACGCCGCTCATGAAGAGCTGCTTCAGGGAGGCATCTTCCTTCTTGAAGTCCGCCTCCGGGATGGCCTTCTCCAGCTGGGCCAGGAAATGGGTGAAGCCGCCGCAGATGCTATGCAAGGCCAGACAGTCCCGGTAGCTGCTGGGCTTCCGCAGCTCCCGAGGGGTCTTGTCGTGGTCGTTGATGAGGCGATGCCAAAACAAAGTCACCTCACAGGACTTCCCAGGAATGCTACTTAGTTTCTCCACTGTAGCAGATCTAACACAGACAGGTCACCAGATTGTCGTCTTGACAGTTTGTCAACTGCACTGCCCAAGGCTCCAATCTGTCTCGGCCTGATGTGAAGCCACGGTTCAGCACGTCTTTGGCGATGGCCTCATGCAATATCAGAGTTCTCATTCCCCTCTTTCTCACGTCAGAGGTCACCATAGCCCGAACTGGCTCCGACACATTGCTCATGAGGTTCGCCACTGCCCCGGCTTCGAATTTGCCGAGCTGGAAAGCCTTGCAAATGTCCGCATGCCTGCTCCAGTCCTGAAGATCTGAACAAATTGTGCAACATATATTTAACATTCGTTACGATGTTCCTGAGTCACCCGATGCAAGCAAACGGCCATATCGGCCACGGCCGTGGACTTGGCTCGTTGCAGCACCTCCACTTGCCTCATGAAATTGAAGCAATTCGGGGCCTTCCTTCTGGCCACGCTGGCCATAGTGATGCCTGCCGGGCCATGTTAGCAGGAATCAAGGGTGTCGGAGTGCAACCTACTTTCGGCCTCTGGAGGCCAGGACTTGTTGGTGAACGGAAGTAAACCGACCGACAGTTCCATAGACCGTCGCAATGCTGGCCTGCCGGCACAATCACAATGACAGCAAAAATGACCCGAACACTCGCTGCATGCAACTGTCAGGCTACGTTCTGCAGAAGCCTTGAAGCCTGAAGGAAGCACAGCATCCTCGATGTGCAGCTCACGAATGCCCTGTAAGAGGATGAGCATCGTCACGGATCTTCGCCACCCCTTCACGAAGGCGACGGAGAACGGAGGCAACAAGTGTTCTTAGATCGCAAAGCATGAGGAAGCATCACTAGTCATGGTTCTGCTTTGGTCTTAAAGACGATATGAAATTCCAGCCCTGGTTCGAATCATGCTTCTGCTCTGAAGTGGTCACCTACACTCTACTACAAAATCCACTACACTCTGCTACACTCTACTCCTACATCGAGGTTATTGTTTGGTCGCTGACAATAAAATCACCCATTTATGATTCTGCTGTGGTCCTAACAGGTTTTGAAATTCCAGTGTTCCTTCTTTTTTGACGACAGGTCTAAGTCCAGTCAGGGTTCTGCTTTGGGCACCGCCCAGTCACGTTTCTGATTCTGCTTTGTTGGACGGCAGGATTTGAAAGTCTAAACCCAGTCATGGTTCTCCCTTGGCCACCGATATGATTTGAGACTGCAGGCACGGTTCTGCTTTTTTGGTGACAGGATTTCAAAGTCCAGTCATGGTTCTGCTTCGGCCACCCACATGATTTGAAAGTCCAGTCAGGGTTTTGCTGTTAAGGTCCAGACAGGATGTCTTGGGTTGATAGGGAGTTGCTGTGCAGTTGTGTTCTTCTGCCGTAGGGAACTTTCAAACCGTCTTTAATAGC